GATAGTAATACAAGAATTATTCTAGAATGGACAACATTTCAAGGGTAAATGCTAGTAAAAATCAGACAAGGGGTAGTGATGATCTTGGGCGAAGATCAGGTGTAACAGTATATAAATCTATCATTAGTAACAATGCCATATTCAAAACATCAGTTACAAGCTCGACAAGCAATTTCCAAATGTTGGAAATCCAATGATTTATCTATATTGGACTCAACTTCTCAGAAACTGTATAATGATAATGATAATCTTGAAGATGTTATGCATCAAACAAACATTGAGAACTTAGATATATATGTCTCTAATCATCCACAACGATACTTGGATAACTCAGTACAAACTATACAATGAAAAAATGCTATACTTCAGGAAACTGCTAAAAATATGGCTGAAAATAAAAATAAACAAATGGATAATGCCGAATATGAAAAAGAACCCAATTGACCTGAAATACAAATATCATTAGTGAATGCTGCAAATAAAAAGGATTTAGAAAAAGGCACAAAGGCACAAATTGAGGATGTTCAGCAGTATATATGATACCTTATTAATAGTTACCAGCCAACTAAAGCAAGCAAAATTGTACAACAAGGCTTGATATGGAAATCTTGGTTGGCAAGGTTTATTCAATTATGGGCAATTCAATGGATTCATAATAAGAATATTCCTGTATCAAAACGTGACAAGCATTCAAAAATTCGAAAACTTTGTAGGAATGAGAATGTAACTTTACAAATTCTAAGTTATATCTATACATTATCGAAAAATGAATATCTTATAATAAAAAAACTTCGTTATTACATTAATACAACTGTGTTACCTTCTCTTGGTTGTGATATTGAAAATAAAGTAAGCGAAACTACCATAAATAGATTTTTGCATGATTATGCATGGTCCTGGAAGCAATGCCAAAAAGGTGTTTATGTTGATGAATATGAGTGTCCTGATGTTATTATATATAGAAAAAATTTTCTGAAAGAATTAGAAAGTTTGGAACAGTTAATGCCAACATTTAAGGGTAATAATCTTGAAAGTCAAAAAGATCCAGAACTTTTATCTGGAGAAAAACTTCATATATTAGTAATCCACAATGAATCAGTATTTTATGCATATGATGCTTTCAAGTTTCAATAGGTTGAAGACGGAAAGCAGCCACTTCGAAAAAAAGGACAAGGCAAAGAATATCATATAAGTCACTTCTTGACAGAAACAATTGAACAATTGCAACTAACACTTGAAGAACAAAAACAATACCCGCATTTACCAAAAACTGCAAAAGATCTAGTTCCCGGTACTAGTAATAAGGGATGGTGGAACATAAAAAAGTTAGTAAAACAAGTAAAAGAAAAACTTATTCCTCTATTCGAGGCTACTCATCCTAAATGCATAATGGTAGCTTGCTTTGATAATGCAACAAGTCATAATGGATATGCTGAAGATACCTTACGAGCAAGTGTTATGAATTTAAAACCAGGTGAAAGCTATAAAATTAGGGATACTATATTCAATGAACAGTCCCAAATGATGACACTTCCAGTTGGCAGACCAAAAGAAATCAAAATGGTCTTGGAGGAACGTAAATTATGGAAAAAAGGTCATTCGCTTGATTGTAAAGATTGCAAGAATGACATTGATGATGAAAATCATTTAAATTGTTGTGCATGACGAATCATGAGTCAACAACCTGATTTTCTAACCCAAAAACTGTGGATTCAAGAGATAATTGAAGCTGCCAGACATAAGTTATTATTTTATCTGAAGTATCATTGTGAATTAAACTATATAGAAATGTATTGGGGGCATATAAAAGGTATATATGAGAGAGATGTGATTATACTTGGAAAGGTCTTTTGAAGAGAATTTCAGAGGCTTTAAATAGTGTTGATATTAGTACTATTCGTAGATTTGTGAGAAAATCACAACAGTATATGAGTGCTTATAGAAATGACTTAACTGGAAAGGCAGTAGAGTATGCTGTTAAAAAATACCGTTTTTATCATTGCATTCCAACTACCATATTAGATGATATTGAGATCAAGTCGGATAAATATAATATTAGTGAACATCACAAATAAATACTTATTAAAATTCAATAAAATTCTTTTATATTTATGGTAATGACAGTTATGTTTGTGCTTTTAAAGATAATGATTGATCTTTGATTTAGAATTTTGTACAGTGATAGTAAGAATTAACAGAATCTGATTTCAGTTTATAATTGATATGGCATATCTTTTTGGAATTTCTTATTATGTTGTATTACACATAACATATCATTAATAGAGATGAAATTGGTAAGGAAGAATATGAGAGTGTTTCCGATCCTATAGAAGCAGCCAGTAATTAAAATTGATGTGAAAAAAATTATTTGATTTTGAGCTAACATTTATATAAAAGATGCATGTAACGTAAAATTTATCAGCTAAGCCACTGGATTAAAATTTGGCCGGTGGCGCAGTAATTGTGGTGATTAAGTGAATTGCACTGTATAAAAAAAATTTTTTTTTAATACAAGTCATGTAAACATATTCTTACTTTAATTAAAATTTATATTATATAGATTGATGTTTTATAAAATGACATATAATATAACTTTAAATATGCTAGATCAAAATTCTGGATATTTATAATGTTTACTGTAGAAAAGTAGTGAGAGATGTTGCAATGGTAGAAAATCCTTGTACAAATTTTCTATAGTAGCTTGCCAATCCTAGAAAAGATCTTACTTCTGTTACATTGTTAGGTTTTGACCATTGTTAGATGGTGGTTATCTTTCGTGGATCTACAGTAATTCTTTCAGCAGATATGTAATATCCAGTATATTTAACTTTGGTTCGGATTAGTTCACATTTCTTTGTCTTGATATAGAGTTGATGTTTCCTTAGTGTTGTATGTAGATGTTTCTTTGGTCTTGTTATAGATGAAAATGTCATCAAGATAGACAATCACAAAATTATCAAGGTGTTTTTGAAAGATATTGTTCATTAAGGTTATAAATGTTGCAGGGACATTAGTGAGTCCAAATGGTAATATCAAGAACTCATAATATTCATAACAGATTCTGAAGGCATTTTTGTAAATATCTTTCTCCTTGATTTGGATTTGATAATATCTTGAGTAAAGATCAATTTTGTTGAAATACTTAGCTCTAGCCAATCGATCCATTAATTCTTCGATTCTGGATAGAGGGTATCAATTCTTAATGATAATTTGTTTAAAGCACAGTAGTCTATACAAAGTTACAGTGTTTTTTCCTTTTTGTATACAAATAGAACAGGAGCACCAAAGGAAGACATACTTGGTCAGATAAATCTTTTTTCAGTTAGATCGGCAAGTTGTTTCTTTAATTTATCCATTTCCAAATAAAATAAGCAATAGGTAGGTCGGAATAGAGGCTCAGCACCTGAAATTAGTTCAATAGCATGATTGATACTTCTTTTTAGTGGCAGTTGTTTTGACAAGTCTTTTGGAAATATGTCTTGAAATTCTTGAATAATTGTTTGTTCTTCTGTTAATACACAAGAGTTTTTGAACTTGAAGTCTTTTTGAATGGTACAGATGGCAAATAATTATTCAGTTGGTGGTACTCTGACTAGTTGGTGTCTTGAAATAATTATGGAATAGTATTTGGAATTCTGATTGGTTCTGTTGGAACTTGCTTTGACTTTGATGTTGCACTTTCCATACTGAAAAGATAAGGTGTTGGTTCTTCAATCAATATTGGGGTTGGCATTATATAACTAGGGTTTTTCAAGTATGGCATCATATTTTTGTAAGTTGAGAACTTGTATAGTAATTCTGGTGATTCAGTAGGTATCTAATTCCAATTTGTTAATCTTGACCTTGTCAGTAACTTCTTTCTTTTTTCCATTAGCCAGTTCTACAGTAAAGGGAGTGGTGTCTTTTTTTTGCAGTTGGTGATGCATCACAAATTTTTTATTGACAAAGTTTCTTGAGGCACCACTATCCAAGAGGATTCAAGCAGGATGGCTATTAATTTTTCTATTGAAATGTAGCAGTTGCTCTTTGTTTTTCTCAATATGGACAAATTCAGCATTGAAGGAGGAGAAGACTTGTTCTTCAATAACTGATACTTTGGCTTTGGATTTTCCTTTACATTCTCTTGTCATATGTCCTTCTTTTCCACAGTTGTAACAGGTAATTTGCTTTCCTCGTTTTGAAAAGTTTCTTTTCTTTCCTGCTTCAGCTTGATCTAATTCCATTGGGATTGGACCATTTCGATTCTTGAAATTCTTTTTGAAGGTTAAGAGTCCTGAGAGGTGACTTTCCATTTTTAATCTTCCTAATCCAAACATGACAGTATTATAGTGGATTGCTAGTTTCATAGTATCATCTAATGTTTCAAGGCTTAATAGCTTACTTTATTCTTGTCGCAGGTTTTAATCCATCAACATAGTAGTTAACTTGATTCAGATTTCTAAATTGAGAACTGTATTCTTGGACGGTTCCTACTTGATGCAAGTTTTTTAACTGAGTTTGGAGGTATTGTTGATAGTGTAGAGGTTGGAAGGTATCTTTAAGTTCTTTCTTGAATTGGTTCCAGGAAGTAAATGTAGAACCTGTTGCATCTTTGATCTTATTAACAAACCAATGAAGAGCAGCTTTTTCAAATCCAGTGGTGATATAATGGACCATTTTTCCTTCATCTGTTACTTTTTGAGCATGTAGAATATTTTTGGTTTGGTACAGTCAAACTTAACATTTTCTTCTGGTTCTTCTTTAAAAACAGGAATCTTGAGAGAGATCTTTGAGTAGTAGTAATAGAGAAAGAAAAAGAAGAGAAAGAAGAAGAACTTGATACTGTAGCTTTTCCTTTCTCAATAGCGAGAGTTTTTAAAGTTTCTTGAAAGGCTTTTATAAAGATGGAAAATTGAGTGACATCCATTTTGGCAAAGTTTTTCTTAAAGTGTATGTGTTTGTATGTGTGTAGGAGGGAATGTTCTTTAAATCTGCTACTACCAAGTTGTAAAAGTCTTAATGAAATTATGGATGATTTCAATTAGACAGTAAACTTAAAAAGAGATATTTATTGAACTCAAACAAAAAGTTAAGTTTTATTTAGGTCAAAAGTATATCCTTTTTATATATTTGAGTTGATATGAAAAGTATGCATAAAAGAAAAATAGAAATAGAAAAATAAGAAAATAAACAAAGTAAATAAAATAAACACATAAAAAGAATAGAACACGACTATGGCTAAGTTTATCTATATATGGTAATATTATCTTATAGTTATTTCATAGTCATCTCGAGTTAGGAAATGTATATATATATCTGATTATGGGATTACATCGTTAGGGCTAATATTGTGTTATTCTCATGTGACTGATTAGGTTGATCTGAAGGATCTGGATCATTAGGATGATCTGGATCTCATAGCATATAATCTAAGATTGTTATATTCTTCTTCTTGTTATTGGAAA